TTGTACACCAAAGGGGGCCTCCTCGGCGTCTCCAAGGCCACCTGTTCGCATCAGGCGACATGCTTAGTCCTGAATACGCTCATTCTGGCTGCGACGCGCACACTGCCCCACTTCAGCTGGACCAGCATCGCGGTCAACTACAACAATGCAGTGGAGCCGCATGTAGACAAATGCAACTCCGATGCGCCAAGCATGCTGCTGGGCATGTCGCATCATGAAGGGGGCGAGTTCTGGTACCAACATGACGCCGGCACGCACTACATGGAGTCTGATGGCACCCTGCTTCGTGGGAGCATACTGGAGACGGCCGGACAAGCTGTCCTCTTCCAAGGGCGAGACACATGTCACGCCGCACTCCCCTCGAGATCCGGAGATAGATGTGTTCTCATTGCCTATACCACAGGCAACTACACGAGGGCAGCTCCTGAACAAATCAGTCTCCTGCGTGACGCCGGCTTCGGGCTACCAATGGATGTGGCCTGATGTTCTCGGACGCGGTCTGTCTGCACCGAGCAGCAGCTGCGATCGCCAGTGACCGCCAGTGATCGCTCGAGTTCTGCACTGGGTTCTCTAGGGTTCTCTTGGGCTCTCTTGGGTTCCCTTGGGTTCTCTTGGGGCTCTTGGATTCTCTAGGGTTCTCGGAGTCTCTAGGCCTACCTGGTCCCCTGCCTTAGGCCTTAGGCCACTCCGCCTTTGCCTCTGGTAGCTTAGGAGTTTCGGACACTGCATGTGCATCCAGTACAACACTTCTGTTGGACTTCCAACACCAGCATGCTGGAAAACATGCGCCGATCTCTCTTTGTCCTGCTTGCAACTACACGCACTGCACGATATGTGTGCTCTCCCTGCATCACCCCACGATACTCTCAGGTCAGACGGGCTGATGGCTTCGATCGTCTGTGCAGTCCCGGGCTGCCAGCGGCACTTCTCGAGCAGTCGTCATCGTCACTGCTGCAGGGATTGTCGACTTTCGGGCGGTGTGCATCATAGTCGTCGCTGCCAGCGTGTGCAACGCTACCTGCGAGGCTATGGCATCAGAGGTTGCACCACCCCAGGCTGTCAACTAAGGGCGCACGCCTCTCATGATACATGTTGCTCTACCTGCCTGCCTACCTCAGGTGCCCTGCACACACGTAGGTGCCGTGGTCAACAGGTTCGACGGAGTCCGCATTCTGCTGGCCCAGAACCAAGCTCTGCGAATGGCCCCCCTGGCTACAGCTTTTACGGCAACTTCCCGGCGACAGCTCACATGCCGACGGTCATGCTTGCTGGTGGCACAGGAGGATGGGACCCCTCGCAACGCCCACTTCAGGCTCCTCACAGTGCCCCAGAGGGACGGGCAGATGGTGGAGGTGCCGCGAAGGAGCCTGGACCTGGCCCGGGAGGAGTTTTGACAACAACCTCCCAATGCTCGGAGCCACATTGTGGTGCCACCTCGTGCGACCCTGCGGAAGGGCCGCTCGCAGGTGACCCACCAAGTACTTCGTGCGCCAGGCCGGATGGTGTACATATTGTACAGGATGTGATCGTTCTGACGTCGTCATCTTCGGAGGAGGAGGGAACTCTGCCGACGCCATACCTCGACGAGCTTGACTGAGTGGTACGCATGCCGTTCTTTTCTATAAACCTTGAGGAGCCATCTAAGAATGGTGCGGCCCAGAGCTGCCAGGCATTCTTGCCTGTCCCGCTACGTGTTGACTCGAACTCAGCACGGCGAGTGAGTGAGTGAGTACTACTACTACTACTACTACTACTACTACTACTACTACTACTACTACTACTACTACTACTACTACTACTACTACTAATACTAATACTACTACGACTACGACTACGACTACGACTACGACTACGACTACTACGACTACTACGACTACTACGACGACGACTACTACTACTACTACTACTAGTAGGGTTGGGCGCCTCCTGGCGCCTAGTAGTTTTCAGTGGTTCGAGGGTGTAACATGCTGGGTTTTCAGAGTCTTTAGAAGTTGTAGTCAAGCCAACTTCAAAAATTCTAATTACTTGGGTTTGTGATGATGATGATGATGATAAGGATGATGGTTATGAGGATGATGATGGAGATGGTTAGGTACTACTGCTGCTGCTACTACTACTACTACTACTACTACAACTACTACAACTACTACAACAACAACTACTACTACTACTACTGCTACTACTGCTACTGCTCCTACTGCTACTACGACGACTACGACAACTACGACTACAACTACTACTTCTGATTCTTCTACTAAGAAGAGTTGCAGTCGTAGCAGGAGGAGCAGGCGAGGGCCGGAGGATTGGGAGCAGCAGCGAGCAGTAGCAACAGTAGCAACACCTGCTGTTCCGTTTGCCGCCGTCATCCGCCGTGAGAGGGATATTATCCCCGGGCATCGACAAGATCCCCAAGACAGCTAAAGAAACGGGACAGGATGGGACAGGACCAAACGGGATGGGCCGAGACAGGCCGGAGACGACGGGACGGGGGACGAGACGGACAATATGGGATGGGACGAGACACGGACGGGACCCCCGCCGCTTTTCGATGTTATTAAGTGCCTGTCGATTTCCGCGAGTTTGTTTTCGATGTCCGACCGTGCAGGCCGAAGAGGGAAGAGCAGCTAGTGCAATGACCTGAGAGCGACCGGCCTGAGGGCAGATGTCAGGACAAAACGTAAACCCGAAGTAAATCAGCAGGTACCTGCATCAGCATCTTGAAAGAATCGACAAACTGCAGACACCACAGGATGGCATCAGAGACCATGCGCTGCCAGACCCACGATCCCTCAGACCTGTAGATGCCTTCGAAACAGCTGCATTCCCCGAGCGCACTGACCCAAGAAGTCTTTGTCGGTCACAGTCTTGCCTTTCCTGACCCCAGATCAACACGCAAAGATGATCTGGATGATCTGGGAAGCATGTCCCGCAATGCCTGTCAACGAGCTCGAAGGCACCACCCAGTCTAGGAACGCCGATTCGCTCCTGCGGCCGTGATGCAACGAAGGCGAAGCCAGGATGCGAGCCCAGTCCAACAGCTACAACATCACTCCTGTGTGGTAATGGCTCGGGACTCTGACTCCTTGCGGTCTTTCAGATAATCATAATACCTGGCGCGTCCAGCAAAGCGAGAAAACCGAGAATGGGAGGAAAAGCAGCAAACGAAGCAGCATTGATCATGATCGATCAGCATACAAGGCGCGCACCATATACAGAACCCTCCCACGCAGCAAGTGAAGATGGCCGACTTCCAAGTGAACTGCACCTCAGGGCGATGCTCCTTTGTTTAGGAGTGCCTCATGCTGCAGGAGTCCCAAGTGCTCAACGTTCTCGTTGACTTTCCTGGCACGGCATGATGCCCGCACAAGCAGACCATAGACTCTTGCTCGGACTGTCACGCTTTGCCAGCGTGTTTGTTACGATTGGACTTGCATGGCACAGAGCACAAGCATGCTTTGCTGGCTTGGTGCTAGTGCGGTATAGCAGATTCGACTCCCCAGTCCATGGCCAGAAACTCCAGTCAAGCGTCAAAGCGAAAATCACCCAGCTGAAAGAAAATTCGACCAACACACTACACGCACGAACGTTTGCAAGCTCACTGAACAGCATGCAGAACACAGAGCGGAGAACGAGCTGTTCATTGCGCTCTGGCATGGGGGTGAGCGGTCCGCATTCGGTATCCACGAAGAGCATCAGAAAAAGAACAGCCCACCACAGGACGAACGACAACCCACGATCGGAGTCGTCGTCATCCTCGTCGCTCAACCCGACATCCAGTGAACCCTTCCCGGGACACCGGACCCGAAGCAACAGTCTCGAACGAAATTCCCTCCATTCGAAACCGGGGCAACACCCCTCCACAAATAGGGTGGGTTGGGTGGGACATAAGGATCCTTCGGGGATCGAGACGATCGTCTCGACTCAAAATGGCCACGGAACAACATGGTTGATCAACTAAAGAGAAAAGGCTTGCTGATCACATGCTGTAGTGTGACCCTCCTATTCCAGACCAACCTCACCGTTAATGGGAGAACGCCCGATCCACAATGAACGTAGATGCCGCACGGCCTGGATTCTGCACTGTCTGCTTCGGTCTTTGCCTGGGCTTCTGCATCTTTTCCTCGCGTCGTATGCTACAGTAGTATACAGGCACCAACACTGCTACTCCGAGAGAGCCTGCCGATGCGAAAGCATGGCCTCCGCCGACCTGCTGGCAAAACACATATTGCTGCTGTCGCAATGGCCCACCCACTCGTGGCCTGTGGCTGAGTTCTCGGCAGGTTTGCCTGGGCACGCTTCGGTCAGAAAACAACTTGAATTCAACCAATGACTGGCCAATCGCAACAGATTGAAAACTTTAGCCAAACGCAACATGCATTTGCTGCCGACGATGACGAACCATGACGAACCAGTCACGCAGGCTCGATGCACGAGCCGGAAACGTTTACGCAACAGCATATGCAAACGCAAATATGGTGGTTTGGTGTGTGAGTTGCAAGGAGGCTCCGTGGGTGCTTGCCTTTGAGACTTTAGAAACCGCCAAAGTCGATGAGCAAATCTTCCCTACGGCTAGTCCATCGAAACTCACAGCGAAAACTTGCATTGGCTCTTTGCTGCAAGGCAGCAAATAGTAGGCGGGAAGCATGGCGGATAGGTCTGCTCGATATCGAGAGCATTGTGCAACGCTGACACTAAAATGCCATGGGCTCGCGGCCCTAACAGACCTCCTGTGTCGATCGTCACGAAAAATTCCGGCTGGAGTCTGTGTCACTGCCACATGTGCTAGTCGCCTGGTCTTTCTCAGAGCTTTGGTGACACAGCAAGTACTGTGCTTCTCACACGTGTATGCCCCGTCCACCCGTCCATCTATGCAAGCAAAGCTCCAGTCACTCGACCAAGTTCATGAAACGACAGGACAGCTCCAAGCTCATTTACTCCGAAGCAGCGATTGCTCGTGCCCATGCCCATGTTGGACACAGCCGGGTGAAAGGAGGGCGCCGTCAGCCATCCAAGACCTTACTTATACCATTACAGTGGGGCAGGCTACAGAATGGGATGGCCTTAATCCACTCGCCCCTAAACTCTGTCGAGAGGCAAATGGACTCTCCAAGTGCTCCTTTGAGGCTCTGCGAGTGCTCGGGGCTGGCTCCAGCGGCGGTCGCAGACTTAGCGAGTCAGAGCTACCCCGCAATGCCCGCAATGCCGGAAGCGGAAGCGGAGGCACATCACAAGGACCGGCCCGAACTCGTGGGCATCCTGCTGGAAGCGAGATGCTTCCGAAAGCCAAGGCGACGCCATCACTCCGCCAAAGCACCGTGTGTCGTAAACCAGCTGCTATACTGGTGTAGCAGGTTCCGGCAGGTAGCGGGGGAACGTTGCAGCGACCGTCACAGTTGTGTCCAAATGCCAGGACAGTCCCATCACTGCGCAACACAACACTGTGATGAGCACCGGCAGCTATGGCAACGTACTCCTGCCCGGCTTGAGTAAATGGAATCTGTTGACGCTCGCTTCCATCGTCTGGCCCACATGCAATCGCTTGCCCGTCACTGCGCAGTAACAGTGTGTTTTCCTGATTCGCTGCCACGTCAATGTATTTCACTCCTCTTGGAGGTTGAGGTATCAACCCCTGGCTTTTGTAAGACCCACAAGCAACCGACAGTCCGTCGCTTCGAAGCAAGAGGGTGTGAAATGTCCCAGCAGCTACAGCCACATATCTCAGTTGCCTGGCACCTTTCTTGTCGGGCTGTCTTTTTACTCGTGAGTGGCCAAGTCGACGAATATCTTGCTGCAAACCGCCAGTTTGGACAGCAATGTCCTGCCATACCGATGCGTCGCAATTGACGACTGGATAGCTTTACATGTTTTTGGCAGCCACCAACACGAGCTTATCTCCACCTCGAAAGAGCCTCTGGTGACTTCTCTCTCTGAATCGAAACTCACATGTGTTGAGTGGGCTATCTTTGGCTGATTGACTGACTCTTCATTCTGTTTTGGGACACCTTTGCTCTGTCGTGTGCAGAATTGGAACCCACTCTGGCCTTGGCCTGAGCATCGGTTTTGTTGACCGCAGATGGCTCCGGCTGCTCTGTCGTCAAGGCCTCGTGATTCCATCATGTGCAGTGCATCGCCAAAGCGTGCAAATTTGCTGTCGGGTTCGATGAGTGTTCTTTCGATGTGTACTTCTTCTGCTGTGTTGGGACTGACGGGAGACGGGGGAGGGGGGCATAGATTCGCTCGAAGATCGGAGCAGCTGTATGGTGCCGCGGAGCGATCGAGTTTTCGGATTTCGTACCGGTCGTCTTCCCTCGGACATTGCTTGCTGGCTATAGCAGTATTTGCAAGATACAGCTGTATATGAACGCAAGCGGTGTTAAAAACATCATCTAGTGTCTGTGTGCCTATGTGTGTCGGTGCGCATGTATGCAAGTACGAAATGTCACGAACGATGACATTCGGTGATGGTATATATGCGTGATCAGCAAAAGCGTTCCTATACCCAAAGGCGTTGATGTGCCCATGTCTTTTTGGGGTTGATATCGGTGTAAGGAATGCATCTTCTGAAGGCTCCCCGTCTGCACGATACACCTTTGTCTGCCTTCTAAGCCCGAGATCATGATCCCTAAACGCTACGCTACACCAAACTCGGTGGACCTCAACCACATAAGCCCCAATGACCCTCATTCTCGAGGTGATTCCGGTAAATGTCTCGGCATGTCTCGGCATATTGCGCGGATGTCCACACCCTCTTCCTCGGGCAAAAGATAGCGCATACATCCGTATATCATATATCAGTGCAAACCGTCACGTTTTAGTCTGCGAGAACACATGGCCAGGTGTGCTTTCATGAGTACCACGTACTCCAGAATACATTTTACAGTTCTTGATGCCATGATATGACATCACTACGTACGGATTGTTAAACCTTGCAATTCAATATGTTCACCATGCATTGCGTGACGACATGTATCATGAGCCGAAACCACCTTCACTTGCGATTGCAGTTGGCTCTGCAAGGCTTTATGAAACCAACTGTTCAGATTCATGGTCAGGACGGCCGTACATGATTGCATATCACCACGCAACATGCCAAAAATCCAAATGGCTTCTTTCGATTCCCAGCTTCATGCCAAACCAAGCAATGAAACACAGAAAACGGCGCGTACAAACTGCCAAGCTTCAGGACGAGAAGCTGGGACTGCACACTGCCCTTCTTGACGCCGGCCTACAGCAATAGCTTCGCCGTCGCTGCACAGCAAGACCTGGGCTGCATTTTCACAAGACCACTCTGGCAATCTCCAAAAGGCCAGCCCGCTGTGTGCCAGTTTCCGGCAGCCGCTCGAACATAATGTTTGCCAGCCCCCAGCGGTGGCACCTCGAAGAACTGGGCTACTGCTACAAGACGACGGGCGCCTCAGACACTAAGAAAACGTCAGTGCAAGCGCGGCACATCACATTGTCCGTGCTCATTTGCTCCAAAAGCGATTGCTTTGCCGTCGCTGCGGAGCAAAACAGTGTGACGACCTCGACAAGCATAGGATCATTGGTTGCACATACCGCAGCCGTCGCAGCCTGGCAGCTGAGGAACGAACAACCTGCCGCAGCTGATACGTAGCGTAGACTCTTCGGCAGGATCGGAACCTGTCAAACACGAGTCTCACTCAGAAAAGCAGGACGTACGCCTCTCCATAGCCTCACACTGACCGTATCTGTTGTCGCCAAAGGCAGCTGCTTCTCCTCGGCTGCAGGATACTTTTTGATATGAAAAGTGCTACAGTTACATCTGTTTGCTGCTACGGTATTGCAAGTTCTTCGGCAGTGCAACCGCTCGTTTGATCTCGTTTGCATCGTGCAACAGAAAAAGCGAACCAGGCTGCCGTTTTCGAGCTGGCAGGGTTGCAAGTCTGGTGTCCCGTGCAAAGAAAGTACAGTCCCCGTGCCCGCAACCGCTCGCAGAAACAGCATATCTCGACGTTCTTAACGCATGCCTTGTGACAAAGTCGCATGCTCCAGGTCTCGGCCAAGCATCCATGAGATCGGATGAGAACCTGGACTTTTCTGACACTGCCGCAGCTTGCACTTCGTGTCGCACCGAGCTTCGCCACTGATCTACACCAAGTGACAGTATGAAAGTCTCCGCAGGCCGCCATGTCCGGCATCTAGCACCCGCGACTTGCTATGCTGTTCCTGGAGAGGGCTTGATGGAGCAGTCAAGCGGACAGACAGTGGACAAAAGGGACTAATGTGAGCGATCGATGCAGGACAAGCGGGACAGCAACTCGACAACTGTCCACCGAAACTGGCTTGGCTTTGGTCAAGCAGGGCTGAATGTGCGCAGACGAAGCTGAGCGTTGCCGAATATTCCACGATTTGCGGCTGAGGGGGCAAGCAGCTGCCAAATGAGCCCCCGCCCTCCTGCGGAGTTCTTTTCGAGGTTGTCAACCCTGACAATGCGGTGTCAGGGCGACACGTGTGTGCCAGGGCTGGCGCGGTGCTAGCTCGGGCATAGGTGTCAAGCTGAAGCGTGTGGTGTCAGCCTTGATGCGGTGTGCACCTATGTAATATGAACAAATGCGTGAAAGTACATGCTATAGTTTGCCTCTGCTCTGCTCTACTAATTACAATTCCACTCTACTCTCAACTCTCTGTTTTTGCTATGCTGTGCTATGCTATCATATGCTATGCTATCCTATCCTATGCTATGCTACGCTACGCTGTGCTCTAGTCTAGTCGAGTCGATCCTAGCCGTGTCTAGCCAACTCTGCTCTGCTATCCGCATCTATCCGCTTCTCTGCTATACTAAACAACCCCAGACCCAAGAACACTAAGCCGCCCTACTAAGGCCTAAATGCAAGGACCCGAAGCCTCAATCCCAAGAACCCAAGAACTCTGTCCCCTGAACCCCAAATACGAAAAAGCAACAAGCTGAAGCCCGAAGCCTCAAACCCAGGAACTCAAGGGCCCTAAAGAACCCTTAGCCCTCTAAGGCCCAAGAACCCTAAGCCCCACAGAATCCTAAGCCCTGAGCCCCAGACCTCGGATCCCCAGCCCCAAGCCCGAGAACCCTAAGCCCCAAGCCCAGGAGCCCTAAATCTTTGAGGAAATCGTACACATTAAACACCAAAGAAGCCCAAGAACCTTACGCCCTAAATCCAAGAACCTGATGCCCTTAGCCCAGAGTCCTAACCCTTAAACTCCAGAACACTGGGCGCCAAACCGAAGAACCCGAAGCCCCATACCCAAGAAGGCCGAAGCCGTAACCCAAGAACCTTCAGCCCCGAACCCAAAAGCCCTGATGTTGATATTCTATGTCATCTGATAATACACATGTATTTTACTGTCGTGTATGTTCAGTGTTATCATTCTTCTTGTTGCTATTGCTATTGCTCTTCGTATTATTGTTTCTGTTGTTTTATTGCCATTATTCTTTGTGCTCTTATTGATCTTTGTATCATTTTTGTCTTCTTGTTCTATCATGGTCATTCTTTTGTTTTGTTACTATCTATATCGTTATTGTTATTCTTCTTGCTCTTATTATGACTCGGAATGTTTCGTCTTCTTCTTGTTATGGCTCTTGCTCTTGCTCGTGTTCCTGCTCGTGGTTTTGTTTTTTGATATTATTATTGTTGCTGTTTTTATGTTCGTATTCTTACTGTTATTCGTCTTGCCATTCGTCTTGTTCGTCTTCATTATTCTTCCTATTCCTATGCCTATTCTTCCTATTCTTACCCCGTTATTGTTGTTGTTCTTATTCGGCTTATTCATCTTCTTATCTATATTCTTACTGGTCTTGGTGTTGGTCTCGGTCTTGTTCTTGTCCTTGTCCTTCTTGTTGTTATTCTTCTTCTGCTTGCTATTGTGTTGCTCTTGCTCGTGGTCTGGTTCTTGGTCTTGGTCTCGTCCTTATTATGCATGCTCTTGCTCTTGTTCTCCCTGCTCTAGTTTTTGTTATTGTCCTGGTTATGCTTCTTCTTCTTGCGATTGAGTTTGTTCTGGCTCTCGCTGTTGTTCCTGTTGTTGCTACTTGTAGGCTCCAACACAACGATAATGTGCAAAAGGCATATGTGTCCGTAATTAGGTGTTTCCCCCCAAGGCCAACATGACGAATAGTGATTTTCCCTTTTCGGCACTGGTATGTACGATGTGTCCTCAACTTCCCATGCCGAAAACCCCGATTCTTCGGCTTCACGCATTCCGAAAAGCATCCAGGGCCCAACGAAGATGACGTCCGTGGGACCGGACCAGTGCACTCGTTCGCACCATGGCCCGACCATGATGACGTGAGTCGCTCCGCAGCAGCACTTCCGGAACAAGTACACAACAGGCACAGTAAAAATTGTAATACTGATGCTGTCGATGATGGCACATTGCTGGCAACATTTTGTGTCGGCACAAATGCATGGTAAATTGCAATGTTTCCACGCGCCCGCACAGAAAAAAACAGGAAACGATGCTCTCAGCCTTTCTGACAGAGAAGAATGGCAGCTGCACGAAACCTCGTAAACCAAAGGAGCCGCTTTCGGCACATCGCCTACGCGAAACACCGCAAATGATTAGATAAACACTCTTCAGGCGTGAGGCATTCCCCAAATGCAGGGTTTGACACACACAGGTACTGAGTCCGGGAGTCTTTGAGTTCAAAGCCGTATTAAAATGCGTTTCATAGAGTGAGGCTTGACTCCTGGCCTCTTGTCGGCATCTTGGGCTCACCATGACGTTTCGCAGATCAACGGCGCAGCCCCGTCATGATGCTATAGGGGTCCCGCCCCATATGTTAAGACTTGGGTCCTGGCCCCTGGTCGTTTGAAAACAAATGCAGATAACATATGCAAGCTGGATTCAATCAAGATATCAACCAAGAGGCCAATCAAGCAGGATCGCAGCACTCATCGGAAGCCGGTGATATGAAGCACGGATTCAAGTTTGAACATTGTGCATTCCAGCGGCCACGCCCGGCCTCCGGTGCAGGTACGTGGTTCCGGCGTCCCAGAACCAAATCAGCAGACTCTGAAGAGCTTCTTTGCTATATGCGCACTCTTCAAGTGTGGGGCATGCCCCTGCACGTCTATAAGAGGAACTGACAAACCCACACATGTGTCAAAGACGGTGGCTGTCCAGGACTCAGTCACAATCCACACAACTTGCCTTCAAAAAATTGTGTTTTACGACAATGCACAACGAGCAAAGCGGCAGGGAGTTTCAAGGAGTTGGAGCCTGGTTCGCTGCCTTCTGCCGAAGGTCCTCATGCGCACCTCCTGTGGGGACTTTGCCGGCAACGAGGCGTCTCGCTGTCGTAGCCAGCTGACTGCACCCACATCGCAATGACAATGAACAATGGCCCTGAAACGAGCAGCGCTCGCGATATCTCGTGAGGTGTGTGTATGTGTGTGTGGGTGGGTGTGTGCATGTGGGTATGTGTATCTGCTTGATTGCGCAGATAGCGCTTGGTTTCGCCACTCCGCCCGGAAGGTCTGAGCCAAGACAGGGAGCAAGGTACAAGCCTACAGTGATCCTTGATCGGACTGCATCACAGTGTCAGCACTGCATCGAGGCTGCAGGGCTTCACGGGCAGCTCTTAACTCGAAGGCCAGGGCCATTCAGACATAATTCAAACGGTTTGCCGTTCGGACTTCTGCACAAGGCACAACCTCCACACTGGGTGGACGGGCAAAAACAGGCATCTAGCACAAAAGCTCTGTATATAAATGGGAACGTGACCTTGGAAAACGACAAACTTGGGGTGCTGTCAGCCTTCGGGTGCGCACAGTGCCCAGGCTTGTATCCGCCAGAGCGGGCACGAGCCACTTCACTGAGTGCAGACACATTAACTATCCGAGGCCCAATTCGATTCGGCGCACGGGGGCCTTTGCATGTTTGGCTTCGCCAGTATGCAGAAAAAGTGGCCTGCGTGGAGCGGAAGAGTGGAATCCTACAAGATCCGAGGTAAACAACTGCATCTATTTGTGTATTGAGTTTCGAAGAGAACCGAGTGAACCTCGCTAAGCACCATTCGGACCATTCATGTCTTTGGGCGTGCTGAACCTCAGCAGGATCAATCCAGACAGCTCACCCCCCGAACAATGCTTTTCTGCACACGCCGGTCTAAGCTGCTGGCGCCTTATCGAATGTGTTCTTTGCACCTCAGCTGTGCTAGACTAGGCAGACAAGGCATCTTGGTCTTGGATCGCGAATCGTGAGGAAGGCACGGCGACGCTCGTTTCGAACATTGCTGTCCACCAGGATCTGCGCAGAAAAGCGAAAAAGTGTGAAGCCGTGCTGGGCCATGCTCTCTGGCTCTATTGACGTCGTGTGAGTCGCTGTCGTTGCTCAAGGCCGAGATCTTCGTCGCGATGCGCCCACAATGCGCCCTGGCCCTGGCCATCCTGGCCTGCAGGCTCCTTTCCAGGCTTCCCAGCCTGCAATCTGCATCGTTCGGGGCACCGGCACAGACAGCACCAAAAAAGGTAGGATTTTCTGTCTCGAGTCTCGCGGCCCGCTTTCCAATGACTCAACCGACTCCTTGCGGCACCTTGCCTTGACTCAATCCTTTGGTCGCCTTCGGCGGCTTCCTGGCCGAGAATTCAATGCTGCAATGATCTGCCATGGCTCTGGGCACTCAGCCCGCCTTGAATTTGAGATTGAGTCCAGGCGCGACATCATTTTCCAGAATTTCCTGTGACATTCATGCTTCTAATCAATGCCACTTCTGCCCAACCGAGCTGGCTGATGGCAAACAGTGTCAGTGTATTGTGCAGGAACTGTGACAGTCCTCGGGGAATTACGAGTTTCAACATGTAAGAATAATGCATGCATCAACGTTCATGTTCTTAGTCCTTCGCTTCCGGGCGAGAGCGACATCATTTTGCTCAGTGGTTGCAGCGTGCGCATGCACTTACTTGTGCAACCGGTACCCATCGTTCCAATTCCACAAACCCTTGCGCAGCTGTTCCGAGAGTATGCACGATGTGTTCTGCACCGGTCTGCGCATTGAGCATGAACGTCAGCCGCAAGGGCAAGTGACGTGGCCCCAGCGTCTGCTGTTATGTGCGGACTGTAGCGGCATCTTTCACGTCAACCAGGGTCGCGGCATCTCTTGTGCAAGGCACCCCTTCTCTCAAGCCCCAGAAAGCCTCCTCCTTCGGAGCAGAGAACCAAATGT